TAATACTCGATAAATTAATACAATTTTGAAGGGGATACAGAGAGAGGCTGAAAGTGTGGGTGGAACTGGTCGTATACGAAAGTTCCGAAGGGGAAATAGGTCGTCGTTCCTAAATATATGGTCCCATAAATATTATAAATTAATAATTAGGTAAATTTTTCAAAATATATGTATATATAGACACATTAGTTTTTGTTAGATTTTATTTCTAATATTTTACTATATGAAATATAGTTAGCATTCTCTTTTAATACATAATAATTATTGTTTTATTTGTAATTGATTATATAAAATACTAATTATCATGATTAAATCTTATTTTTAAATATTGTTTTGAAAATATGTTCCAAATTAGGAATATCTCTCTATAAATTTATCGATAAATTAATACCTCTATAAATTAATAGATTTTCATGGTCCCAACATTATTAATTTATAGAGGTTTTACTGTAGTTAGAACATACATTGGAGATTTCTTGACTCTCTTTACCATGTCTTTTGTTTTAATATATGTTGTTTGGTTGTTTGAATTGGACAATTGATTTTTCAATGTTAGTTTTGTTGAAAAAACAATATTTTCTCTATCTTTTTTAGCTTTCTGTTAGATTATAAAATATGTATAGTTTTTTTTTTTTTTGTTTTTATGAGCGAAAATATATATAGTTTTTGTGTTAGATTTTCTTGCATTTTGGTTTGGTTGTCCGATCATTTTGGATGCCATCTTGTGTGTTAGAATAGTAAAGTGTCGTAAGTATATATATTCTTGTACGTCTATTTATTAATTCTTGTATGTCTATCTCATATTATATTACCTTTTTGATTAATTATGAGTATGTAAAGTACTGTAAATTTTATCTTTTGTTTAGTGCTTGGTATTGTAAATAAATGATTAAACCTATATTATTACTTTAACCCCATTAAACTAAATTAAATTAAATATTCAAAATTGAACCCTAGTAAACTAAATCAAATTAGATATTCAAAGAAACTAGGAGATAGCTAATATTTCGTTTTGAAAGATATTTAAGGATCTAGGTTCTATTAGAAGATGGGACCTAAAACATAATGAGTTCTATACTGTAGATTAAATGTAAATTTCATAGTGTACCCTAAATTATATAGTAATTTATTTTTCTTTATAAACTTATAAAATAGTATAAATTTAAATCTATGTATAAAACAGAAATCGGGGTGATACTATAAACCCTAAAATTTATATATTAAACTTCAAAACATAAACATGATATATACCTAGTCTTTGTATGTTTAATAGATATTTCAGATTTTGAATTTCGTATTATGTTTTTTACACTTTACACATTACACTTCAATTAAACTCTCAAACGAAATTATTTACCAAACAAATTTTACATACTAAGAAAAATATCATTAGAGACGGTATATTTCATTTTTTCATGCAAAGTATAATTAGAAAAGATCTTACTTACAAAGTTGAGAAAAAGGTGAGTCTAATTTTTTTTTGAAAGATAGCTAGGCAGATGAAATTTTATTTTTGAAGATATTCAGATCATTTTTTTAATTGATTTCATTTTTTAGTTTAAGTATTTTCATTATTTGTCTTTTTTTTTTTGTTTTTATTTTCAAATGGGCTTCTTTTATTGGGTTTGCCCCTTAATGGGCCGGGCTTCAGATTTTACAAAGAAAACACAGAAACAAAGGTAATCAACGGGACAAAATCAATGCCGGAAAAGAAGCTCGTGTCATATTGATACCGGAACGCAGAGGGCCGGCCACCAGTTCTGACGGATGCGAGATCGACAGTTTTGCGGCAGAACGAGGTATCTAGGCAATGGAGGAGAAGCATCCGACTCCCGCTTCCATTTCTTTTTCCCCGGCCAACCAAACCCACCACATATCTCTCAGAATGTCCAGCCCTCCGACTATCCGGCACATTGTAAGCCGCTCCCGTACCAAGCGAGCCGACCTAACATAACCCCTCCTTCCCAGCTTGACGTCCTTCAGATCGCCGAACCAGATTCCCTCTTCTCGGCCAGGAGGAAGCAAGACGCGGTGATGTATGGGGCGGACGGCTCAATCGGAAGTCCAAACATCGAAAAACCCACGTCGGCCATCAAGACCCGAACAAATCTTCTGTTAACCTCCATGGCGATTCGACCAAACCTCCATCTCTCCCGTCGACTTCCGCCATAGATCCATAACCAGCCTTTTGGGTGAGCCACAAAAGTTAAGAAGTTGGGGACTGTATGTTAAGAAGTTGGGGACTGTATGTTTCCACATCGTGTGTGTTATCAACAGCTACATGTTAAGAAGTTGGGGACTGTATGCTACATGTTAAGAAGTTGGGGACTGTATGTTCCCACATCGTGTGTGTTATCAACTGCTACGATGAATCAAAGGCACACCTGTTTTGTGAGTGGAGTTTTAGCTCGGAAATATGACCATCCTTCACTTCTATAGCAAATATGCATCCTCCATCGCCATTTATGGGCCGTCTCCTTTGGTCAATGTCTCCTTCACGAGAAAAAACTTCTCCCTCATCATTAAACTAATCCATCAAGCCTCAATCTGCTCCATTTGGAAAAGCGCAATCCTCGAGTCCACACAGCTTCCTTTTTAGAGCTCGTATTGTCTCGGGTACAAGAGGCTTTTCCTCGTTCCTTACTATCATCCTGGTTAGAAGTTATTTGAATTGGGTGAAAATGTTTTATGTTGGTGAAACATCAAAATTAATCAAAAAGAAAAATATTAACGTTTTGCACAGTTTTTGGATACAACTCGATAAGACAAAACCAAACTATTTTGAGAGTAAGAAATATTAGAGATTGTTCTAACAAAAATAAAAATTCAAGAAGAAACATATAATAATGGGTAGTTTACTGATTTTTTTTTTTTGTCAACATTGGACTACAATAAACCGATCCATTAGCCAAATCCCTACATTCGTAGGGGTTGGGACTTGATCCTTGGTGTGATGGTGCATGCTCTCAACTAGAGATGTCAAACGGGCATGCCCGCGACCAAACGGGCTGACCGCTCCGGTCTTTCTTTCTTTCTAGACCAAACGAGCATGTCTGCGGCGGGTTGCGGGTTTCATAACAGTGCCCATACCCGCCCCGCTTAGCTTCGCGGTCTAACGGGCACAAGACCAGCTGAACTTGAAACAAGAACCCGAAATTAAAATCCAAGAAACAGAAACATGAACTAACGTTAAAACTGAAACATGTCTGTTTGTAAGTTATGAAGTTTATAGATTTTGTAAACGAGTTATGATCTTACTTCTCGTAGCCAAGCGAGAAGAGTCAAACATGAACTAACGTTAAAGCATGAACTTGAAACAAGAACCAGAACTTGAAACAGAAACATGAACTAACGTTAAAACTGAAACACAAAATGAAATCCAAGAAGTATTGATCTAAATCAAACTAAAACAATACAGGAACACTACAGAGAATGCACAAGATTCATCCTTACATTAAGCATCCTCCACTTCACTGTCTGATTTGGAGACGATAGAAGACGAAGATGAAGAACCTTCCATCGCTTTTTTGGGTTGCCCGCAAACCTGCTGTCCGCACCGGACATGACCGCGACAAACCGCAGACCAAAAAGATCGAGTCCGCGAGGCCCGCATTTTTCTGGGCTTCAAAATCAAGGCCCATACCTGCCCCGTTAAGCTACTTATTGGGCTATGCCCGCGGGCTATAGGCCCGTTTGACATCTCTACTCTCAAGGGACTTGTTATACTTGCCACAAGACTAAGGTCACTTCACAGTTTTCTTAATAACTATAGTATATTTTTATTAACTTTACTAAATTCTTTATGTATATTTTTATTGATAAATTTACAACATTGATGCGACCATATATAATAAGAATTTTTAAAAATTATTACTTTATCATCTTATTGAATTGTGTTAGTTATTATTAGTTTTGGAGAAATTTATTAATTATAGTGATTCTAAGTTTACAAAATATATGATTTATAGAAATCACTACTATTAATCGAAATTTTTTAAACTTTTTTTGCCAAACAGAATCATTTAATGTTTTTCTATCAGAAATTATAGTATAAAAATCCCAAACGTGTTACCAAACACCCTAAAAACGGATAAACGCGGGGATCTTTTTAACCCGGTAAACGGACCCGCTTTCAGACACAATATATAAAATAAATGTTAGTCACATGTTCATAAGATTCATTAGGTCTGTTGGTTACATATATACGTATTGAGCATCATGTCCCAGAGAGATTTTTTTGTTCCGTATAAATCTGTATAATAATACTCTTTTTTAAAGGGGAAAACAATAAAACATAGTACCATTTAAAACTAAAAACTTACAAGTGAAGGAAATGCTCTTAGAGCCAACCTCGGAGAAAGAAACAGAGTTTTCAGGTAAGCCTCTTTGTGGTCTCCATGCTGCTCTAACCATTCGAAGCTGTTGAAGCAAAGCTCTCTGTCGTCTCAACCTTTACTCTATATACCTAAGACGCGGTATCCTCTCTCCTTGTTCTACATAAGTCTTTCTCTCATCAAGCTTCCCTCCGATTACCTGAATCTGCTCTTTTATCACGTCCTCAAGCGACGCAAATGGCGAGAGATTCTGTTCAGAGCGACGAATGTTTATGGCCTAGCTGCTCCAAGACCTGTTACCATCTCCAAATACGAAGCTAACGCTTCCATTTTCTTTGGATTGTAAACCCTAGGTCTCTAATCGAGTGGATTCTACTTTGGAACCAGATTCTCACATAAAGCGGTATCAGAGATGAAGAATCGAATGCTTAACCCGGAAAAATCAAAAGATTCAAGTTGAATCGATTGATTTCGCCGGATCATAACGGATTTTCGTCGATTTCGTCGGGTTCTCTTCGACAGAGAAGAAGAAAAATAATTTTCGCAAAAGGAAGAAAATAATGGGGAATTGTGTTTTTTCTCTTTTCTATTTTACTGAGCTTCCAATCAGAGAATGCCACGTCGAGTTTATTTATCGTTTTCTCTGTTGCCAAAAAAAGCAACGCTTCTATTTTTACTGGGCCTTTTTCTTATTTTTCATTTAATTGCTGGCCCACTTTTTCTTAGGGAATCCATTTAGTACCCCTAGTGGACTTGAGCTTACACCCCATCAAGAAGCCATCTCCGGTTGGGATTAGGTTTTAGTATTTAAGATTGGGAAGACAACTAGTTAACTAGGCTAAAATGAATTTGTCTTCAAAGAGATGGAAAGACTATTCTGCAAGGTTTTAGATGTCAAATATGGAGTTTATTAATCACCTTTAGAAACACTTGGAGTTGAAAACTTTGTTATGGGGAATGTATTCCACTGAGTTAGCTATTACAGTAAAACCTTTATAAATAATTAATAAAAAAATTCCGGTCCCGAGTTGGACTAGTGTAAAAAAGACCGAATTCAATAAAATATTAAGAGAGTGATTATTTTTGAAATCCTATGTAAACATATGGTCCCAACATATATGTGTATATACATACACACATTTTTGTTATAGCTAATTTCTAATATTTTCCCGTATCAGAAATTTTAATGTTTTTTCGAAAACGTGGTAATTGTTATTTTCTTTGTAATCGATTCTAAAATTTATTAGTTACAACGATAAAATATTATTTTTAAATATATTTTTTTTGAAAAACGTACAAAATTAGGAAAATATCTTTATAAATTAATAATTTTGATAAAGAAATACTTTTTATAAATGAATAAAACATTTCGGTCCTAACGTTATCAATTTATAATTTATTGTATTATGCAATCTCATAGTTATATTTTATCGTTTTCTCCAACTTTTTTTTGATTGATATGTTTCAGAGTTATTTTCTTAATTTTCTGTTGTCATTAATTAATTAATTATTTTAAAATTTCTAAAATTTTTATATATATTTATATACATATATGCAGTTGATATAATAAAGAAGTATAAAATTCTCGAATATATATGCAATTATTTATAATTTAGACTGTTAACATATGAATATATTAAAAATAACAGTAAAATGATATATTGTTTTACAAATCACATTATACAAAACAAAGGATAAATATATAAATACTCAACATATCATAATATAAATGACCTAAAATAAAATAAAATAAAAAAACTCAACAAATGTTTTGGTCCCCGGCCTAAAGGAACAATGGACCAAAACTCAGCGGCATGGTGGTCGTCCAAAAACAAAAAGTAAAGGTAGAAAACGAAAAACAAGAACAAATATTTTACAGAAACATGGTAATCCTTTAAACCTAGATCCTTATAACAATGAAAGAAATCAACAACCACATTGCCATTATCGTCATTGCATCTCTGTAAATGTATTAAAAAGAAAAAAAAAATGATTATGGATATATATAAACAAAAATTTCTATATATAGATGGTTTTGGCCAAGTAAAAAAGTTACTAAAAGATTAAGAAAAACTTGCTCGTATAGGATTTGTCCACGGCGTTGCTGAAGAGACGACAACGAAGGTTAGTAGCAAAAACATCCCCAAGAGAGACAGCTTTAGCAAAGCCATGTTTGTTTAAAGTTTTGTTTTGTTTTCCTTGAAGAGAAATTTTTGGATGGTCTTGTTCTTGTTCATTTCAAGTGGAGCTCAGCTCTTATATGTATAGAGATATTTTGATTCTCTGAATTAATCCTTACAATTTTTAAATATGGCAACCAGGCCTCGTCAACGTCAACACTTTATTAGATGACAAAAAAAAAAAAAAAAACGTCAACATTTTTTTTTTTTTGATGTACTTAACATTAAACATTAAACGACCGGATCGTGTTTTCGATCTTTACGACCATTTTTTTCCATAGTAAACTATTATTTAAATAGGATGATTCGTTGCATGATGCCATGATGTAATATCGTTTTGCTTTTCAAACTTTGGAATATTTGGTGATCACCAATATACCGCTAATTTAACTAGCAACATATATAAAAAGATATGCTATAACTAGTGTGATGATAACTTCAAAAGTTGAACAGCTCCAACGAAATTATTAAAAATACTATAATGTTGGTTTTTAATTTTCTGTAGTGTGGCTTTATCAGTCGTCAATTCTTTTTTGACATCTTGGTTTGAAGGCTAAATCGACTTGCTCTTTTTCCCTTATCCTTTTTAAATTCTATCAAAAAATTTGAAAATAGTATAAAACGTAACATTTTTACCAAAAAAAAATTGACTTCGGCGAAATAATTAAAACATATTACAATGGCTCCGATTGGTAATACACATAATGACATAATGGTGTAATCTAATGTGATTATGCAAAAAAATTGCCATCAAAAAAATTTGCATAATCGCATTAGTAAACGCAAAAACGCAGATTTTGTTTGCCTAAAAAATACAAGTGAAATCTCATTATGCAAAAATGTGAGTATAGAGGTGTTTATTTGCATAATAAAATATGTTTTTTAATTATGCAAATAAGAGGTATAAAAGTACGAAAAAAATTGTTACAGCAAAAAGTATAATATATAAAACTTTCACAGCTATATACAAGGTATAAAAGTAAGAAAATATTTGCATAATTAATTTTCACTATTTTACATATATAATATATTATCAATTGTAACTTTACGAAGATATTTCTTTGAAAATATTTGCATAATTAATTTTCACTATTTTACATATATAACATATTGGCAATTGTAACTTTATGAAGATATTCCTTAGCAAAGTACAATTTGTTTTAGCATTAATGGACCCTATCTAAGGCCCAATCTCCCTCTTCCTTAGCTGTCAAAGAGAAACCCAAAACTAAACCCTAAAAACAGCACCCAAGACACCAAAGGATAGAGAAGGTTTTTGATCGCAGTTAACAAACCACTGGAGACAAGGAGCTAGCCAAGACCAGGTCGGAGAAATAGAAGAAGTAAGTGGGGATGGAGGCCGAGGACGTTGCCGAGGAGAAGAGATGATCACAACCATGAATATGAAGAATTGAGAGAGGCGAAGCAAATCAGAAGCGAAGAAGCAAGAAGAGAAAAGAAGAAGAGTTTCTTGCCAGATCAGAGGTAAGATCAGAAAACATGGTGGATCTAGAATAGATCTTTTGTCTTAGAAGATACAGAAACTGACAGTGTCTGAATCGGAGTTGAGATCGAGGAGTTATTCACGTTGCTTTTTGCGCAAGAAACAGGTGAAACTGGCCAAATTAATAAAACATATGAAAACGGAACCAAAGTGGCTTCTTCAGAACATGCTTTTTTTTTTTTTTTGGTTATGTTTCTTCACTTGAAGCATGTAGGTAAAGATTCGATTGTGTAGGATAAGTTTATGTGATAATATGATTGATTGATGATATGTATAACGGTGATGTTGTTGTTTGATTATGTGATGATATGTACCGTCCTTGTTGTCCATCGACACCATCAATTTTGGTAGTTTGGTGGTTTGGGCTTAATTGTTAGTTTAAGTGAATTGGGTTAAAACAAAACCCTTGAGTCTATGATAAAAGTTCAAGCAACCTCTCTTCTTTTTTTCTTTTTTTTTTTTTTTTTTTTTTGAGAGTTTTGTTATTTCTAAAGAGAAAAGGACAAAATGTTTAGCTTGTGTGATTTTAAGGAGATGAAAGTTGAGGCTTCAGAAAAAGTTTATGGAGGCGTTCTAGAGGTGTTTGAGGGTAGTTGTTGTGTGTTTGGGCAAAGAGTTGAGGAGATTTGTGTGAGAAGGCTCTACTCTTTTTGTGTTCTTCCTATTTATGTCTCCCAATCAAACCAAATCAAAGGCGAGAGCGTGTCTATTGCTAATCTAAACTTGTGAACCTTTATGATGTGTGTTTAGATTGTGTAAATGGATTCGGGTTTTGATTGTGTGTTTGTTTCTCTGAGATTGGTGTTGTGTATTGCATGATTGATGTTAGGATTTGTGTTTGGATGCATTGGGAGAAGAGGTGATTATGGGGCATTTGCGGAGCCAATGACGATCGACACTAGGTGGATGTTGGTCGACACCAGTAGCTACGTGGAGCCAGCGTCGATCGACACCAGATCATCGCTGTGGGGGTGACAGTCGACACCAGTGCGGGTCAGAGAGTTGTTCGTTCCTTTTGTGCCAAGTTTGGTTGGGTGACTTTTATTTGTGCATGTTGGTTTGCTTACTATACTTGGATGTATAGCCTAATAGATGGGAGGACCGCCTCACTAAGTATTTATGATAATATTCTCGCATCTCTTTTCTTGTGATAAAGGTAAAGAGAAATGTGACTGTGGGACCGTGTCGACAAAGAGACGGATGATATAGTGTCATTGAATGAGTTTATGCTTTATTTTATTATTGTTAACCTCGAAATTAAAAGTATGTTAGGATTTTCTGGAGTTTGATTACATTGTTGGATTTGTTGGTTGTATCTCTTTTGTATTTTCATTTTTGGTGTAATGATTATGACATTTGAGATTAATAAGATGAGTATTTCTGGAAGTTGACTTGTTGTGTCATGTGTAAAAGAGATATGTGCGAGTTTCTAAAAATAGAAAGTGTCGGGTTTGACGGTTCTATTTTTGGAAAGTCTCGGGGTGGTGGTTAGTATAGCATTGCGATGCTATAAGTGGACCACGAGAGGTATATCTGATCGAGAGATATGCTCGAGGGCGTTTAGAATTATTTGCTCGAATATGATGTGATGGCCTCGGATGACGATTCGAGTGCACGCTTGAGGGTGACGACCCAAGAGCGAGGATGAGACTTCCCGGATACCGTAGCTGGAAGGCTGGTGGCCTAATAGTGAGCCGGTATGACTTGAAAGTTGCCACCTCAGAGCGGGTTATTGTTTGGTTTAACCTAAGTCGCATTTAAAAGAGGAAAGGTCGACCTAGGGTTAGAACAGCCGTTTTTTTTTCTTCTCTAAAAAGTTCAAATTTCTCAAGAGAGGTTTTGTGAGGTTTGAGAGTGATTTGAGACCTGTTCTTGGTGATTCCATCCTTGGGAAGAGAGATCTCGTTGCTGTGGTGTTAGGAGAGTCCTTGGTTGTTGTAGTTGAGTGTTTGGCGTTCTTGTTTCAATCATTTTGAAAGGTGAGTGCATGACTAGGCTGATATAAGCAGTTTTGATGCATATTTGGGTGTTTTTCTCTGATTGATGATTGATTCATTGTTTGTATGCTTGTTTTATGTGTTTGGTGTCTTGGTACGAGCCTGAGGAGGTGACTAACCGGTCATGGTGTGCTAGAGGCATTGGATCCGTTGATGAGAAGCGGATGGAACGATGTTAGGTTTCGGTGGCGCTCGACACCAATGGTGGGTATCGAACGACACCAACTTACTTTCTCGCGAGGATGGTCGCGAGTGTCAAGCGACACCATCGATGGTGTCGATCGACACTACTTGTCTGACGGGTCATTTTTGTGTTCTTTCGTGTTATATTGATGGTGGTTTGAGTTAATACTTGAATGTATTGATTTCTGTTTGTGTATAGCCAGTGGTGGGATGATTGTCTCACTAAGTATTTATGAAATACTTATGCATCTCTTTCTATGATGCAGGTAAAGGTAAAGTGTGATCCGTGGAATCATGGCGAGGAGAAGAGGATGATCTAGGCGCTCATTGATGTTTTAGATTATTGTTGGATTTGTTAGGATGTTAGAACGGAATTTAGAAGCATGTTAGGGTGCTTATGTTCTGGAATAATGTTTTGTTGAACTGGTTGGTTTAGTGAAATTATTTTCATGGATTTATGCTTAAGTCTTATGTTGGTTATGTTATGTGTGGTTTAATTAATTTGAAGTAATGTAGGGCTGGTTTAGCCGGTTTACAATTAGTTGGGTTAATCCGGTCTGCATATTTTGTTTTTTATTTTTTTAAAAAAACGAGATGGGTTCTTTCATTTCTCGATAAACTTCGATCGTACCGATAAATCCTCGACCATTTGATGAATACTTCGACCACCTTAAGTTTCCTCGACCATTGGGACGTCCAGTACCGGCTAAGATTCGTCGGAGACGGGCGTTACACTTTTCCTCATTCTCGTTCCTTACTATCATCCTGGTTAGAAGTTATTTGAATTGGGTGTAAATATTGTATGTTGGTGAAACAACAAAATTAATCAAAAAAAATATATTAATGTTTTTTCACAGTTATTGGATACAACTCGATAAGACAATACCAAACTATTTTGAGAGTAGTGGGGCCATATTTTACTGATTTTTTTTTATCAACATTGGACTACAATAAACCAATCCTTTAGCCAAATCCCTACATTCGTAGGGGTTGGGACTCGATCCCTGGTGTGATGGTGCCTGCTCTCAGCGGACTTATTATACTTTGCCATTAGATTAATGTCACTTCACAGTTTTATTAATAACTATAGTATATTTTTATTAACTTTATTGAACTCAGTATGTATATTTTTTATTAATAAATTTACAATATTGATGAGACCATATATAATAAGATCTTTTAAAAAGTATTACTTTATCATCTTATTGAATTGTGTTAGTTATTATTAATTTTTGGAGAAATTTATTAATTATAGTGATTATAAGTTTACCAAATATATAATTTATAGAAATCACTACTATTAATCG